AGATTCTTATATCTTTATTACCAGCTGAAATTGTTTTAGAGGTACAACTAAAATTGCTCATTCATTTTGTGTAGATTAAGCTAGGAGAGCCAGGCTACAAGGAAAGGTATTATGCTGAGAAATTTAGTACGACCAATCCAGAGGAAACTGAGCAAATCAAGCAAGATCTGGTGAGTTTATGTCAATTAACTCTCTCAGTCACCCTTCTGATGATCTTTATAATAAATCTAAAGTTAATTAAAAGTTTCTTCAGGCCATTTGCTAATGTAATTAAACATCCTTTTAAGTCTCTCATCTTGAAAATTTTTGACCACCAAATTCACAGCTTGATATTTCACAGTTCGTTTCATCTTTAATAAAAGTTTATTGCGCTATATGAACTACTTTCTTATAATTTCTCCTGAGACAGTTTTAGATGAACACTAAACTGTTATCACTTATCAAGTCTAATGACCATTATCCTGTAGGTACAAAAATATGTTGAAGGTTTGTGCTGGGTCTGCCGGTACTACTACCAAGGTGTTTGCTCTTGGCAATGGTCAGTATAACTTTACGTAAAGCTTACATTGAGAATGTCATGCGACTGCCATGAGAGCCATGTTTTGGAAAAGACTAGAATATCTTATTTTACTGTAAACTGATTGGTCTCTTCCCAAGATAGACCTTGATGTTGGTGTCACTTGTTGGGAAATACTAAGTTGCAAATTGTGAAGGCTAGACTGTGTTTTCTAACCCTTTAAATTTTGCAGGTTTTACCCATACCATTATGCTCCATTTGCTTCAGATCTTAAGAATCTATCTGATTTGGAAATCACATTTTTCATTGGAGAGCCCTTTAAACCTTTTGACCAGTTAATGGGAACCTTGCCGGCTGCAAGGTTCTTTCCTTTTTGTGAAACCTCAATAATTATTATTTCGGGCCCCTGCGGTGATGTAAATTGTGTTCTTACGTCGTTGCAGCTCAAATGCTCTACCTGGTGAATACCGGAAGTTGATGACTGATCCCTCATCCCCGATCCTGAAATTTTACCCTGCTGGTAATCATTTACCCAAATGCTAATACGGTTTTATTCCTATATATTTATGCTGGATAGTAAATACTCATAAGCTATCATTATATTTACAGATTTTGAGATTGACATGAATGGAAAGCGCTTCTCCTGGCAGGTTTATGGTTGTCTGTATTCTTTGGATATTGTGATGATGTTATCACGATAAGACTGTATTCTGTTCTTCAGATTTTGATGTTGTGTATATCGCACTTGCTGTGATCCAGGGTATTGCAAAACTCCCTTTCATTGAGGAGAAATTATTGTTAGCTGCTACAAGGAAGCTTGAAGAAACGCTAACGGTTGGAACTGAATCTTCACTCAAAATACATAAGCATATCGTTTGGTCAAAACTACAACCTCTCCAAGAAAACTATAATTCTTGATAAGATAAATTCTTGGACCATCTGGATGGTTTTTTTTTTGGTTAGCTAAAGTAGCTTTACAGCTAAGCGTGCGCAAGCCATCAGTATTGTCTATTGGGAACTAGAATTGAAAATGATTAGCAATTAAATATTCAATATGGATTTAATCTCGCAGGTGGAAGAACGGCAACGCAACAGCGTGATGCTTGATTTGTTATACGTACACCCCGCTCATCCACTGGGCCAGCGGGTTATGCAGTACTACCAGTTCTACCGCCAGTTGGCACCACATGAATGTCTTCCATGGATGATTGACCCGAATTCGAGGTTTGCTTTGATTGGCTAAATTGATAATTAACAAGCTGTGTGTAGTCTGATTATCGAGCTTGTTCTTATTCTCGATTCTCTTGTGTTTGTTGCAGCCAAGCGATGAACGGGTTTCTCTGGTTTAGTGAAAGGAATGGTTTCCAAACGAAAGTGGTTTCTCCTGTAAATGATTTGCCAAGCATTGAGCAGAACCGAGCCTTGTACGTTTTTTCGTTCTTCGCAAGTTACTGTCTAATAAAATTATGATCTACTCATTCAGATATTTTCCTATACATTTTCAGAAATGTTACGTACTTGAATCCTGCCAAACACTCTCATATCCCAGAACCACCAAGAGGAGCGATCATTCCGGACAAGGTATGTTGCACCAAAGGAGTCCGTCATAAACAGTATAGTCCATCACTGCACTAAAAGAAATGGAAATTAGGTTTTGTATTAGCGTTTAGGAGAACATGTTTACTTGTATCTCAAATGTCAGTGTTTTCTTACCAGTCTATTTGTTTTCTTTTTTTTGTTTGTTTCATCTTGCATGCCTATTTATCTGCTGAATATTCATTGCAAAAAAAAAGTGGATCGATATTCATTATGGAAGTTCCAATTTGTAGATCTTGACGTCAGCAGATATAAAGCCATTTCCTCCTTTGTGGCATGAAGATAATAGCAACCGACGCCGACAAGCCCGAGATCGGTAAGGGGACTTTACTACTACTGATATTTTGAATATCTCAGTGTAAATAATGTATTTTTTATAAAAAAAAAACCTATAATATTTCTACGGTGCAGACCACAAGTGGCTGGTGCTATAGCCGGACCAATGCTGGGAGAAGCAGCTCATCGTCTTATCAAAAACACGCTTAACATGAAATCCTCTAGTGGTTCGGCTTCAGGACTACTTGACCCGTACGCATACAACCGAAATGTACCGGGTAATCATTATTACGGTGGAGTCAATAGACCAAGAGCACCAGGTTCTTCTTCTTACAGGAAAGCATACGAGGATGACTCCAGCTATTACTATTACGGAAAGTATAACAATAGTTACCAAGGAACGTACAGCAACGGTCCAAGGTATCCTGGTCCACTAAATGGATCACCAGACTATAACCAGAACTACAATAATTCCAAGGTAGAACAGCAGAACCGTGGTGGAATCAGAGCTGGAATGTCAGGTTTATCTATTGAAGATAACGTCAGAAGCAAACAATTGTATTCAAGTTATACAGAAGCTGCTAATGCAAGTCTCAAACCATTGCCTTTACCGCCTACCCAATGGATCGGTACACCGCAAGGTGGGAATTATGGCGGTGGATACTATAAAGAAGGAGTTGGTTATGGTGAAACAAATGGAAAACCGGGAAAGAAAGTGATTTATCAGGCCAAGACACAACAAAGTCGTCGAGGCACAAATGAATGAGTTTTTTAGCTGAGGCAAGTTCAAGTTTTCTTTCTGTACATGTGGTGTATCGAACACCTAGTTTCTTTCATTCGCTGCAATGCCCTTTTGTAGTTCTGGTGAGAAGCTACAGCGGCTGCCATATTCGCACTGTCATTAATGCTCCAATATTTCGGCTAAAATGCAAATGTATAATGTACCGTTGACGTATTTTTTTTTTTTATTTACTTCTTCCCTCTTAAATTAATTATTGTTGACACTTCTCAAGCAAATTTAAGAAATTAGTTCAATGTTTTATTACGCCATTCTAATTTTCTCTTGGTTCCAGTTTGCTCCTTTTAGCAACTGCGACGCTTCATATGATTAGGGTTTTTCACATTGAATATTTGAGTGAATTTTGAAATTTGATGAGAAAATTCCTGAAAAAAAATACCAAAACTAAATAAGATTTGGTAGAAAATTACACTGATTACTTCGGTCTCTAGAGTAATGCACGAATTTTTAAGAGTTTTCTATTTATTCATGCTTGCTGACAAATTGCGTATATTTTACACCTGAGATATAACAGAAAATCAAACAGTGTTGGCTTTTAATATCTTAGAGCATCTCCAATGGTTTCTTCATTTTTTCCTTTAAAAATGAAGTTTCTTCGATGAAGTTTCTTCATTTTTAAAGGAAAAAATAAGAAACCAATAAAGCAAACTTTCTTCATTTTTTTCTTTAAAAAGAATATTCCAAGCATATTTTATCTCTATTTTTTTATTAATTACTAACAAGGTCTTATACTTTTCAAATTTTCAAATTTTCACCTATTTATTTATGTAGAATAATTATTCAACCAAATTATAAATTTTATATAATTAAAAATTTTATTATATAAAGAAAATTACAATATATCATGTAAATAAGAACAAACCAGCAAACTCTTCCTTCAGCATCAGCTTCATTTGGACAGTATTTTAATCATCTTAATGGACTTGGAAGTGATTTTCCAAATTATTAAGTTGCTAGTTTATGTTATGTTAAGTTTATTATTTATAATTCAGTATTAATTATGCATTTTTAATTTTGTTGTGAGCTATGTTCTTGTATTTTCTATATAATATATGTTATTGTATATTTTTATTGTGTTTACAGTATTTTTACTTCATAATTTAATTAAAAAATAAACAGTTTTAAAATTAATTGGATAAAAAAAACATATAAATTTTGTTTGGGTATAAAACAAAGCATGTAGAAAGTTAAGGATACATTTTGTAAATAAAAAAGTTCACCTTCAAAAAATGAAGAAATGAAAAGTGTTCCTTCAAATTTGAAGGAACACTGTTCATTTCTTCATTTTTAAGATGAATTTGAAGCACCATTCAAGAACATTTCTTCATTTTTATCTTCAAAATGAAGGAAAATGTGAAAAATGAAGGACCATTGGAGATGCTCTTATTAAGTCGATGTTATTTAGTTTACTGATTTTGTGTAGTAAAAATACCAATTCTCCTAAATAATATACAATTTATAGAAAAGATTCATAGCACACAATCTTTGCTAATTGGATGCTTTTGTTCATTCTGATCATTTATCAGCATGAAATAACTTTATTTTTATCATTTTTTCATGGAAATACCTTTCCTTTCTATCTCTTGATTTAGATCTTTGCCATATACAGTTATCTCAATTCTTGACTAGATTGAGACTGATCCCATTACACTTTCCAGATTCACAATCTCGTCGCCGGCATTATCCTTAACATATATCTGACTAGCCTATGCATTTGACATCGAATTTTGGTGTAGAATGTCTTCACCTACCACCATTGTAATATATAAGGTGTTTAATTACACTTCAAACCAACCTTTCCAGTAGAAATCATTGTAGGTAACAAATGAGAATGCTGGTGTGTATTGAAACATTATAAAAATTGTAATAACATCATTAACATAAATAGTAAACATCATCATTGGATAAAATAGCCACTCAAAAAAAGCATGAAGAAGAGGAAGAGACTCCCAAAGATTAAAGCAGTTTTCTGGCCAGAAGTAAGTGCATTACCACCAAGTCCATATTGTTGATTTTGAGCAAAACCAGCAATTTCAACCATTTTACTCTCGAAAAAAGTCTTTGCAGCTCCACAAGTTGGACATCTCCAATCTTCAGGTAACTTGTCGAACTGAAAACCCGGTGGGATTGGGTACGATGGATCGCCCGCTGATTCGTCGTACTTGTACCCACATGATCTACACTCATAGATCCCAGTATTCAAAACCGCGAATTTCTCCTCTTCTCTTCTTCGCTTCTCAGTCGCGTCTTCGAGTTCCATGGTCTCGGTCTCTTCGAGAGGCGTGGAGGCGTCGTCTCTTGAGACGGCTAGGTGGCGAGAAAGGGTAGAGTGGTAATTTGGGTATGAGATGGTAATGAAGATTTGGTGGTGAAGGTGAAGTTGTTTCTTGCCATATCTGAGAAACGGTGTCAGTTTGAGGGAAGAAGAAGAAGAATGGGAATGGGAGTGAGAGAGAGGAGAGAAGGACAAAGTAGCAGTCGCCATGCTTCCTTTTTTGAATCCTTATAATTTTTTGGGTTTGTTCATTGTTAGAGAGATGAAAAGAGTGGAGAAGGATCCTGTGGAGAAAAAGGTACGAAGGAGCATAAGCTTGGATAAGATTTTTGAAAAGCATCGTGACGACCACGTGTACTTCTGTCAATGGTTCTTATTTCTCTACTATAACCTCAAAATATCATCCATTCCTTCCAGATTTTTTCCCCTAAATCTCACCAAATAATGAAATATCGTTGCAGCCGGTGGCTTGAATATTAATATTGTTTGGTTAAAAGCAAAAATTTGAAAACTAATTTTCTTTCAATCATTATATTATTTACAAAGTGATCCGAGTGTGGTTCAATGCACAATTTTGGATGTCGTTTTGATTAATGAATTTCGAATATTCTGATTGGTCGATGTTTGTTATAATTTTATTAGTTTATATCGATTAGTTTTAATAATTTTTGATGATTTTTAATTTTTATAAAAATTCTTATCGAGATCGTTAATGGGTTTGCATTGAATCCGAATATCGGCGGTTTAAAATTTTTTTTGAAAATCCGAACACAAACCAATATGAACAATGGAGATTTTCAGATTTAACCTGAATTTTAAAGCCAAACACCAAATTAGCCTCATTTTTTGCTCTCTCCAAATTTTGTCATTTTGTCACAATTCTATCCTTCTCACTCAAGATATTAACGAAAATGCAATTATATACTCATTATTTCGATTTTTTTAAATATTGACTAAAGTCTCTTTGGACCTCCTACAACCTTTTTTATTACAATAATGCCATCTTTTTCAATACTTTTAACCACCATGAACAACCCCAAAAATAGAATAAATGCTTCTCAACCAATTTTAAAGCTATAATAAGTTAATATGAGAGCTCATACACTCATAACTTTCTATATTCTTTCCTAATTTCTTCTCTAAAATTTCTGAGCTGAGTTACAATGTCAAAGGTTATGCATTTTTGGTGATTTCAGCTTAATCAAGACTTGGGTTATTTTTTTTTGGGTCAAATTCAGAGTTTTGGGTACATGAGAGACCTAAAAACAAACTCAAAACCGATATAGGTAATGATACACTTCAATTTTGGTAATATCTATATCTGTATCGCAAAAGTAGACTTCAAAATATAAGGTTATTTTTGCAATTGACTTCTTAAAAGTAGACTTCATTAAACTGCACAAGAAGTCTACTCGATATCCTTTGAAAACAAAAAAAAACCCAGTAGACTTCGTTTGAAGGCATAAGAAACGAAAGAGAAGAGGTTATTTTTGTAGTTGACCGTATTTTGACTTTTTAATATAGACTTCTTTCTAAAGTCTACTATTTACGTCTGCACAAGAAGTTTACTTTTAAGTTACTTTTGTTGTTTGACCAAAAACGTATAGGTCATTATAGTGTTTGACTAAAGTTTTTAAAAAAATAAAAAATACAGAAAATTCCGGAAAACTCCAGTAGAAAGAAGTCTAAAAACGGTAGACTTCTTGCGGAAGTCTACTTCTGTTTTCCGGTCAAACTTAGAAAGAATCTTTTTTTTTAGTAGACTTCCCTGTGAAATCTACTAAAGACAGTCAATTGCAAAAATAACCTAAATTTTTCTGTAGACTTCTATTGAAAGAGTAGACTTCAAAAGTAGACTATTAGAGAAGTCTACTCTTACTTGAAGTCTACGATAGAAGTCTACTTTGTTAGTCAATGGCTCGGTCAAATGCTAAAGTAAACTTTTTGGTCGGAAGTCTACTTTTGAAGTCTACTGAAGGAAAAGTCAATGGTTTGGTCAATTGCAAAAATAACCTATTTTTAAGTAGACTTCTTTCGCAGACTTCGATAGGAAAAAGTAGACTTCTCCTCCAGTCTATGTTTGAAGTCTGTTGTAGAAGTCTATTTATTGCATTTTTTTAAAAAAACGTGTTTTAGGCAAATTTATAAAGTATTTTTTTCAATTTTTTTATTAGAAATGTTTGTCAGTAAGTCATTGAACTATCCAGTGAATTTCATTTAATTTCATTTGATATTTATTGTGGAATCAGAATTTTTGATTTTTAAGCTACTTAGCTCATTAAAGTAGACTTCGTGGTTTAGTCTACGGATGAAGTCTAATTGAGAAGTCTATTTTTGTATTTATTTAAAAATGCTTTCCAAAAATATTTATAACGTTTTTTTTCAATTTTCAGGTTTTGCCAAACGTCTTAGCAAGTAATTGAACTGCTCAATGATTTTCATTTGATTTAATTCGATATTTATTGTGGAATCAAAATTTTTGATTTATAAGCTAGTTAGCTTGTAAAAGTAGACTTCTCTAGCAGTTTGGATGAATCTGCACACAAAGTCTCCAAACGAAGTTTTGAAATTTGTGTTTAGCATACTTATACAGACTTCTAATAAAGTCTGAGTTAGGCATTTGTAAGTTCTACACTTCTACTTCATTGTAAAAGATTGTAGAGTTAGGCATATTTAAAGTGTTGCTAGCAATCCATTTTTTTTTCTTTGAATTTTGCATACTTTGTAGTTTTAAAACTTGTGTGCAATCACTCATGTATACTTATGACTTATCATCTTTTACAATTCCGTAATTTATTACGTGTGATGTTTAGTGGTAACTATCTTGGGAAGATGGATGCACATGATAAAATAAGAATGGGTCTTGAGAGGTCCAAATTTAATTAGAGAAATGTGTGTGCCATCACTGAAACACCCCATCCCGGACTCTAAGCCCATGGAGGTTGTTCCCGGTCGGACCGCTATACGGCTCCGACCCAATCAGTCCAATTTTAGGGTCAAGTCCTTTATTTAAGTCATATTCGATATGTGTATTCTGAGATTCGCTAAGTTAGAGTCAATATGTAATGAACAAGTAAGAGAACAGATATTTTATTGATATAATAAAGGATTCAATACAACTTAAGAGTTTGCATATAAGCTATTATAAGTTCGTATGATCCTATCCATCTGTTCTATCACACCACCCATCATCCTTGGCTAAACGGTCTGCGCGCCTATCCTCTTTCCTTTCCGCGTTCATCGTTTCCTGTAAACCAACACCATAAGTACTCGCTATTTTGGCTAAGTATTATTTATGCACATGTATGCATTTCATGCCTATGATTCCCGACCCCGACTTTAACCCACGGTAAACTATTCTACTCCGGATCATGGTTCAGCCTTAGACAGGCCGAGTCTTGGCGAGATCCGTTCTGTCTCCCAAGCCGCTCAATCGTCGCACCAACCGGATCCGGCCTACATCCATACGACCCATCGCGCATCATCGCCGGCCCAATCTCAATTCCATGGCCGGCGACTTTTATTATAAATCTAACCGAGGCTTGCGATCGGACTGGCCTAGCCCATACTTTGGCCGATCGTCAGGCTCGTTTGGTGGATACTTATCGCCTCGGCCGCTACTTCCCGTCTGATCGGCCTAGCCCATACTTGGATCGATCGTTCGGTTCGTCCGGCGGAGCGATAGTTTAACCATACGTATCTACTAATAGAACGCACCTTAGTAATCCCGCGGTCGATTGCTCTTGCCGCGTTTCCTTTCCTTCTTCTTCTTCTTCCGCGACCCGCACCAGCCGCTCCGGTCGGTTTCCTCACCGCCGGTCAAGTTAATTCCCTCTCTCGGATTGCCTTAGTCTCACGATTTGGTAGAAGTTTGGGAAGAGTTTCTCTCCCTATCTGTGCGTACCCGAAAATGTGGCCCAAGGGGTCTATTTATAGACTTTCCCTTGCGGTAACTATTTTGGGCGAACAGGTGCGAGTTTTTTTGGCCGAACAGGTGCATTAATTGGGTGCATAGACTTTGCAACCCTTCGGCCATAACCGCCCATAACCACCCCAGTCCAGCTAGTTCACTGGCCACTCAGCTAGACCAACTGTCTTACTCTTAATCCAGCTGAGCTGAGCTTCCCGGCAGCTGGTCCAGCTAGCTTAGCTCACCTTTCCAACTATTTTTAGCTCGGCCCTCCTTACTGAACTATCTTTCTCTTCTTTTTCCTGGCTAAGTCCCACATTAACTAGACTTAACCCTCATTCCGGACCATGGCTCGTATTTTCCTTAGACTCTCGGTCACTATTCCCCACTTCACGGCCATGGTCTGTCCCGGCGACCCTATTGCGGGTCAGGGACGTTACAAGTCTTCCCCCCTTGAAAGGGATTCGTCCTCGAATCCGGGCTAAGGGGTAGAACCTTGTTCCATTCCTCGAACCATTCGGGATAATCAGCCATCATCCGATACTCTGTTTCCCAAGTTTCTTCTTCCACTCCGTTACTTTCCCAAACGACTTTGACCATCGGAATCATCTTTTTCCTTGTTGCTTTTTCCATCTTGTCAATGATTTGGACTGGTTTTGTTTCCACGGTCAGATTCCCTTTAAGGTCCAAAGGGATTTCGGTCAGGACTTTATCTTGATCCGTCAAGCACTTCCTTAGTTGGGATACATGGAAAACATTGTGAAATGCTTCCATCGCCGGTGGTAAATCCAACTATGCGACTGCCCCAACCCTTTCCACAATTCGGAATGGTCCTATGTACCTTGGATCAAGCTTTCCCCTCTTGGAAGTCCGAGCCCTTCCTTTGAACGTGATCATCTTCAGATAGACCAGATCGCCCACCGCGAACTCAAGGTCCTTCCGACGCTTGTCCGCATAGCTTTTCTGTTTGTCTTGGGCTTCCTTCATTTTTATCTTTAGGAACTTGATTCTTTCCGTGGTTTCCTCCACAATAGCTGGTCCAATTGCACTCCGTTCTCCCACTTGGGTCAAACAAAGTGGTGTTCGGCACGGCCGTCCATATAAGGCTTCATACGGCGACATCCCAATGCTGGTTTGGAAACTGTTGTTGTAGGCAAATTCGGCTAAGGGTAAATACTTCCCCATGACCCGCCCCAATCTAGAACACAAGCCCTTAACATGTCTTTGAGGATTTGTATGGTCCGTTCTGACTGACCGTCTGTCTGCGGATGGTAAGCCGTACTCATGTTCACTCTTGTCCCTAAGGCCTTTTGAAAAGCCCTCCAGAAGAAAGATGTGAACCGCGAATCCCGGTCTGAGACTATGCTTGCCGGAACACCATGCAACCGCACTAT